AATAATTCAATCAAAAAATCATTCATTCTGTTCCTCAAAACTGCCTACAGTGATTTACATTGTGCTTGGCATTAAAAATAGTGTGCATTACTTACATTATGTGAACTTTTCTTCATATCACTGGATGCCTATCCAATGCACATCATGATTACTTTATTAGAGATTGAATTTTACAGTGATAAACTCTGTATTTTTTTATTTCAAAATATTACAGGGGTACAAATGTTTTTGATTACATGGATCACTTTAGTAGTGCTTGAGTGTTGCTTCTACCAATCCATGAGCATAATATGTTTTTCCATTGTTTGTGTCATCTGTGATTTCTTTCCTTAGTGTTTCATAGTTGTTTTTGTAGAGATCTTTAACAATCTAATGACACATCTCAAGGAAATATAAAAGGAAGAATGAAAAAAATCCAAAGCCAGCAGAAGAAAAGAAATAACTAAGGTCAGAGCAGAACTAAATGAAATGTAAAATAAACAAAAAAACACACAAAGTAGCAATGAAACAAAAAGTTGATTCTTTGAAAAGATAAACAAAATTAATAGACCTCTTGCTTGATTAACCAGGAATAGTAAAGTTGAGATCTAAATAAACTCAATCAGAAATGAAAAAAGAGAATTTACAGATGATATCACAGAAATACAAAATATCATCTGTAAATCCTATCAAAATCTCTATGCACATAAATCTCAAAATGTAGAAGAAATGGACAAATTCCTGGAAACACACAACCTCCCAGGACTCAATAAGGACGAAATAGAACTACTGAACAGATCAGTAATGAGCAGCGATATTGAAGCAGTAATAAAAATTCTTCCAGCAAAAAAAGCCCTGGACAGGATGGATTCACAGCTGAATTTTACCAGACGTACAAAGAAGAACTGGTATCCATACTTCAGAGATTATTCTATAACATTTAGAAAGAGGGAATCCTCCACAACTCATGCTGCAAAACCAGTATCACCTTTATACCAAAACCAGGAAAAGACACAATCAAAAAAGGAAACTACAGTCCAATATCCCTCATAAATATAGTTGCAAAAATTCTCAATAAAATGCTAGCAAACCAAATTTAACAGTACATCAAAACAATAACCACCATTTCCAAGTGGGCTCCATTCCAGGGAGGCAAAGATGGTTTAACCTACATAAATCAATAAATGTGATTCACCATATAAACAGAAGCAAAAACAAAGTCTATATGATCATCTCAATAGATGCAGAAAAGGCATTCGACAAAATCTAGCCACCCTTTTATGATAAAAACCCTCAACAAATTAGGCTTAGAAAGAACATATCTCAAAATTGTAAAAGCCATGGATGGCAAACCCACAGCCAGCATCTTACTAACAGGAAAAGTTGAAAGCATTCCAATAATAGCTGGAAGAGGACAAGGGTGCCCACTGTCACCACTTTTATTCAACATAGTGCTGGCAGCCCTACCCAGAGTAATCAGTCAAGAGAAAAACATAAAGGGTATCCAAATCAGGAAAGAAGAGGCCAAACTATCACTTATTGCTGATTATATGAATGTAAACCTAGAAAACCCGAAAGACTCCACTAAAAAACTCCTAGAATTGATAAATAAATTCAGCAAAGTCTCAGTTTACAAAATCAATGTGCACAAAGTACACAAATCTTTACACCAGTTACAGTTAACCTGAGATTCAAACCAAAGACTCAATAAATACCATTCACAATAGGTACAAAGAATATAAAATTCATAGGAATATACTTAAGAAGGTGAATTTTTTAATTTAATAAAACTATGTTTACACATTAGCTCTTCTATTTATTAGATAGGTAATATTCAACAATTTATTTTCTGAATTCTCAAATGATCAGTGTGCTTTCATCTGTAAAATGAGAATAATATACACTGTATAGATATGTTTTGATAATTGGTTGTATATGATGTATATACATAAGTGTCTAAAATATCAACCATTTAATAAATATAGCTATTGATATAGCTATTATTGTGATGTGAATATGTGATTGCTGATGTTTTATAATATAATATAAATATAAATATATTTAACATATAAAAAGTATATAATATAAATATAATATTAAGCATGAATCTTATTTTTATAATGCCCAAAATTAAAACAGACAAGAAAGTAAAAGTATAAGATATATATGCAGATGTGACACTCAATCATTTTTATAGTAAAGTATAGATGACATCTTTTATTTATAACTTCTGATCTACATGTAGATATGTGTCAGGTAAAAGGCAAAATAGGTGGAGTAATGGCCAAATAGTAAAGACTATTGCTCTACAGCTATGGCCAGAAGACAAATGGAAAACTGTCTGTCACATTAGCTCACTTAGGGACTGTGTACTCATCAAGCCTTTCATTTTACTTCCATTTGGAATATATAGTTTTTAGTATATTTATTAAATAGGCCAGACCCATGGTTTAATCAGAAATCTAAACATTTTTATTAGATAATTTATTGTTATGTCATGTCCCATAAGAAAATTTGTATAAGGACAAAATACAATCACACAAATGCAAGTGGCAGTTGTCTTAAATATCTTTAATACCATATGTATTACTAATGCCTTCAACAAAGAAATTCATATTCCTATTAAACATAAGAATGCTATAATCATGGATAAAGGATGTTTATTATGCACTTTCACATAACCAATGCCTGATAAACACAATAATGAAAAACATTCAAAATTATCTAAACTCAACAGCAAAAGGAATAGAGAAAATATTTCCATTTTGTTTTATGTAAATTTATACCCAACTGAAAAATCGAATATTGCTAAAGAACAATCATAGCACTTCTAAAGAATTACAAATCAAAGGAGACATCTAGCTATTCAGAAACCAAAATACGTGGACAACAAATACCAACATTTTAGGATTATTTTTAAAAATATTATATCATATAAGATCACTGCTTTTTTTTAACTCTGAAAATAGTCTCTCCAGCTCTGATATTTTTCATATCCTGTAAAAGGTCAGATAAATGTGATTGCATGTCTCATAGCTACATCCAGTCTACAAGTTGTAGGAAGAGGAGGAGAAGGAAGGGCGGGGAGGCAGAGGAGAAAAGAGGAGAATAAGATTATACATTTATATACGTGGATATGTACGTAAACAGAGAGAGAGAGAGAGAGAGAGAGAGAGAGAGAGAGAAATACAGCATACACATATATGTAAGTTGTTTCCCAGAGAAAAACCCTTCATTTAAGCATTTCATTCCCTCTCATGTGATCTAAAGCTGTGCTCATTATTTCTTTGTCACATACTTTTCATTTCTTCTTTTTTAATGGGTCCATCCTCTTCAAACATTCCTATCATGGTTCCTAATTTTAAAACAATCAAAATTAATAAAACTTTCCAAAATTTACCCTACTTCACTGTTATGAGGTGTCATCACACTTTTTTAAAAGAATAGTCTATACCATTGCTTTAAAATTTAATTGTAACTCATAGTAATTGTCCTATGCCAATGTGTTGTGCATAATGATGTCACTGTGATCATCAATTATAAATTCATATTTGTCCATGGAATTTTCTTTGTAACTTTCTGCAATATTGAGACGATTTTTTCCTTAGCTTTCCTTAGAACACTCTTCTTTCTTAGCTTTTGTGACTTTAAGATCTGGTTTTGCTTATGTTGTTATTAATATTTTATTCTCTAATATATTCTTCCACTCCTTTTCACACTCTTTCTCTTTAAATATGATTACATCTAAAAGATCCACCTGTCTTTGTTATTCATAACTCTCTGGCAATTTCCTCAAAATAAATCCTACAGATCGTCTGCTTTAGAATAATGGAGATTTATGGACCTGTAAGATCTACCTAATCAGAAAACCTGAATTTGTAACTCAGTTTTCGCTTTCTAACACCCACTCAGTGATTACTATTTGCCCCACAGATTGAAAATTTCTGCTATATGCACTCATCACCTTGGTCATCACATTTAATTCTGTAATTTATTGTATCACCTCTATGAGGATATATCTAAAATTTTATCCAAACTCTTGACCTTATTTTTAAACTCTTGTCCCATATTTTAGACTGCCTGTTATATGTCTATGCATTTAATCTCTTCCAATAATTCTATATTATATATAGTCAAATAAATTCCCCCGTTGGAGATTACCTAACAAAGGATATAAATTTTATTTCTTATCAATGTAGAGATATTATTAACGAATGCCATTGTGATGGTTCAATGTGTAGACAAGAGAATAGTGAGGATTTGCTTCAGTCTTATCCTCAACAAAGTTTTTGGCTTTATGATCATCATCTCTTCTCATCTGGTTTAGTAGAACTTCTTTATTTTTAATATTCAAAATATATGAATACTGAATTTCTCCAGATATATTATACATTCCAAGAATTAATTAGAACTCATAGAGTTCTTCAGCATCTAGTGGGTACATTAGTGTGCATATGAGTACACATGAGATTTCTATTTGATTTATGGGATTGGGTGCTTTTTAAAAAACAGTGACTTATTCAAATGAATCCCTTGATCACTTAAAGAAAAACAACTTTATATGATGCTGTGTTTTGAATTTCCTGGATATAATAGTCAAGCAACACATGTTGTATATTAAATAGCTACTTGCCTCGGGATGCAGTGTAGATTCACATATCCTTGCATATTTTCTATTAAATTTGAAGTGAATCCAACCTTTTTATAAACCTTAACTTCATACAATGGTTTGATGGATAAAAGAGTTATTCAAATTACCATAACTGAGGATGCATGTACTTTGAACATCACTATCAAAATTTTATAAACAGATGTGACATTTATCTGCCCATTGTATTAAAGAGAGATATTTACATGTAAGGAAATTTTTCATGCTGAATTTATATCTTAAAATTGTGTGTGGTCAGTAACCTTTAAATATTTTATGATGTATAAGGCAAATTATAATATTCTATTATAAGGTTATTACACTTGAAGTGCATTAAAATTCAAAGGACGGTATACATATCTGTCTTTTCTAGTGAATCATACTTTGATGAAAAATACTTAACTTCAAAATTAATTAGGAGGGAGAAAGCTGAATCTCATATCACTGTTCTTCAAGTCATTCAGTAAGTACCTTCATAAAGCATGGGAATTATGCATATCTCCATGCACAAACAATAGGGTTATTGTTTGTTCTGCAATAAAATTACACAGAAAAGTGATGGATGCACTATAAAGAAATTTATTTATTTGTTGCAATTATATATATCTTCAATGTACATGAAAACATTTTAAAGTCCTAAAGTCTTGGTTACCTAAAGAATTTCTATTCCGAAATAAGGATTAAGCATGAAATATATATCCATTTCATTAAATTATTGCTGTATTCTGCTTAAGAACAATATAGCTATTATTACAAAATGCCTATTGCACATGTATTGATCATATTGATGCAACAAATTCATAAATATTAGTATACAATACTTTCATTAATTACTTCTGTTTAAAAAGACAACAACCAGTGATAATCCAATATATCTATCTAATTATATCTATATATATTTCTATCTTCATTTTTGGTATATGTAGAAAAATAAATCTTTCTCAGGATCTGTTGATAAAATTACCACCTTAATAAAGGAAAAAGAAAAAAAATCTCGTTTGGGACTTCCTAGAAGGAATGAATTAAGAATTTCCATTTGAAACTCAGTGATTTAAAGAGATGGTTTCATAAGATTCCAAGTAACTGCAGTAACTATATTCTGATGACTTCTGCATTCTTAATCTGATGGTTTCTTTTTAAATTTTTTTAAAATAAAAATTGTATGTATTTAAGATGTACCATGTGATATTTTGATATATATATATATATATTTTTTGAAACGATTACTATAGTAAAACTAATATCTCTACCACCCTAAATAGTTACCACTTATTTCTTTGGTGTGGTGAGAATACTTCTCATCTCCTCACTTAGTAAATCTTAAGTACACAAACAGTATTATTATTAATAATAACTATAGTTACTCTGCTGTACATTGGACACTAGACCTTATTTATTTGACATAGCCAAATCTTTGTACTCTGTGATCAACATCTCCTCATTTTTCCCAAATCCCAACGCTTGGTAACCATCTTTAGACTCTCTGCTTCTATGAATTTGAAGTTTATAGATTCCACATGGAAGTGAGCTCATATAATATTATTTTTTCTATATCTGGCTTATTTTATTTAGAATAATGTTCTCTAGGTTCCACCAAATTGTCACAATGTCATGATTTCTTTATTTGTTAAGGCTGAATAGCATTCTGCTGTATAAGTATAAAAGTGATATATATATATATATATATATATGTAATATATATTATATAAGTTACATATTCCACTTTTCTTTTTCCATCCATCAATCATGCTATTTTTGTATCTTGGCTACTGTAAATAATGTTGTAATGAACATGCAAGCACAGATATCTATTGGAAATACTGATTTCATTTCCTTTGGATATGAATTTCCAGAAGTGGAATCTTTGGATCATAGTTGTCCTATTTTTAATTTTTTGAGGAACATCATTACTGTTTTCCATAACACTGTACCAATCTACGTTTGCATCAACAGTGTACAAGAGTTCCCTTTTCTCCATAGCCTTACTAACACTTGTTATCTCTTATCTTTTTGGTAATACCTATTCTTCTAACAAGTGTGAGATGATATCTCATTCTGGTTTTGATAAGCACTTCTCTGATGAGGCAGTGATGTTCAGGACTTTTTCATATACCTGTATTACTCTATATGGTAACACAGTATCTGGTAATTACGGGCTAATGATAAAGTACTGGCTGGAGTTTGGAAGACTTGATGTTTTGTTTTGATTTTGAGAGATAACTACATAATCTTTGGATGCACACTTCAATTTTAAAAGTCTCAACTTCTGTATGATATTCTATGACTTAAACTTTTAGGATATGGAAAAGCAAGCCTAACAGATCTTCAAAGAACAGCAGTGCCTCTTGTTTGCCCTTATTTCTTGCCCAATAGAGTGCACTAGATTTAGATAAGTGAGAGTGTGAAGGATATAGCTATTAACCTATCAACTCAGTATAACTGAATAACAAACGACAAATTTTATACTATTTTGTACAGGCATTATGCCTAACATTCTTTTATGTAACTTAACCACCACTGATACTTTGTTTGCATATTATATACATTATAATCTGTCCAGTGTTAGCACTGTATAACAATTCTTTGGAAGAACTGTCAGAAAATAAAGAAAAACAAAATAAATCTGTTCAGAATTTAATCCTCTACTCTGTTATTCACATCAATGAATAAGCCCTCAAGTCCCTGTTCTCCAGAGCTATAAGAGGAATCCTGAAGATAATATAAATTACCAACAGACTGTGGTTAAAATAGATAATATGTCTGTTTGGATGTACAGTATATATGTGAAATAATATGAGGTTTGAATACAAAATATTTCCTATTTTGACATCAGTGTGCAATAATTTCCCAATTTCCCATATCAGTATTACTTTTTCAAAGTATATTATTAATCACTGTGAACTTCAGCATCTTCATTTAAAAAAACAATATTCCAATACTGACAGTGTAATGATAAATTGAGAGGATTTAGGAGTGACTATCATTTCTATCTTCCTACCACCTTTCCTCTACCTCTAAAATAAAAATAACATTGCATTCCACCAATTCCAGGGGAACGTATGTGAGGCAAGAGGAGCCCAAAATAGTGCTTAACTTCCCAGTCTGCTTGAGGGTCCAGAGGCAGGTACAGTCACACTAACAAAACAAAGCAGGAAGCATAGCCTCAGGCTTCTGTGGTGGAAGCTAAAAGCCCCTTTGGTTCTTCAGTCACAGAGCTCTGAAGAGCCACTTTGAAACCTTGGTTAGACTCCCACTGAGACAGTGGTAAAAGAGAATAGCCTACACACCCTGAATGAAGCAAAACTGAGAAGTGAGGAGAAATAAAATTTTACCTGACTGCCTTACTGAAAACAACATGAGAGAAGCCTTTAAAATTCATAATACGTTAGGCAACCCATAAGATGATTTTGTGTTTTCTGAGCCCTCATTCTGAAAACTTGGGTTTGTTTTCTCTCTCTCTCTCTCTCTCTCTCTCTCTCAAAACCTAAGCTTGGTGTTGAATAGCAGGTGTATTTCCTGGACTTAATCTTATGACACATACTCACTCAAAAGGAATGCAGATAATTAAAACAGGAAACTATGATGATGTGAGATATATGGCAAATGCAAAAAAAAAAAAAAAAAAAAAGTCATGGTGCTCCAAGAGCAAGGCTTGAGGATAAGAAAAGACTTCGCTGAGGTAAAGCATTTTATGCTCATACCTTAGGGTGATTAGAAATTAGTGGGGTAAAGTAGTGTTGTAAGGAAGTGTGGTGAGAGGAGTGAAAAAACTTCTCAGACTTGGAGCCATTTATGCAAAACTCATAAGGAAGGACATCTTGGTATGCCCTAGGAGCTGGGTGGCACTCACCTTCTTTGTAATGTAGATCAAGGGAAGAGCTTAGGTGAAGGAGTTGGGAGAAATAAGAATGGTTCAGCAAATAGTCAAGAAATGATGACTCATGGTAAAAATTAACTTGTTCTATTTAGTTGAGATGCTCCACTTCCTACCCAGCGTGCATTATGGTGATTCCCAGTCAGTTTCTCCCATCAACACACTTGAGTTGTGCTCCCCAGAGAGAGACAGCCCTGTTTTTTAAATAATTTTTTAGAAAACTGAAGGAAAAGAAGTACTTATACTTTGGAAACAGAAGCTTTTGGACCAAATTATCAAAAAACAATATCAAGAAACAATGTTTCCTGTTTTATAATTTTTTTTTTCATTAGGGGCAACACTTACTTTAATGACATGCATTGTATATCTCATATCCTTAATGTAAGATACTGGGCTATAAGGACAATGGACACCTTCCAGCATGTGTTTACTGCTTGTTTGCTAACTGCAAGGCATTATGAGTACATTATGGGATGCAGAGGAGAAAGACAAAGAACGCAGACACCGGAGTCTCTCAGCTAGGACCCGGAACAGGTTAGAGCCTATCAGGGGCAGGATGAAGTAAGAATCACTGTGGGGGCAGATGCATAATCAGTATGTAAACAGCTTAGGTATAAAAGGGTCACTAGCACTCAAAGGGGGGTCCCTGCCTGAAGAAGAGGCCACTGGGCTGGCACTCTGGGGGCTCGGACCCTAGCTCAAGCTAGACAATAAACCTTTTGATAATTACAGTCTCGGTGACTCTGTCTCTCTGTCCCGGGGCCCTGTGAATCTTGGCTATATAACACATAATATTCATTTTATTATGTTTACATTATGAAAGTACCAAATGTTATAGCAGAGAAATTGGATAATAAAGACAAAATAATGTTATATGATTATAAAAAAACAAATTTTCTTATTGTATATCAACATATGCCTTTGATATTTTTATTCAAAATTGATTTCTGCATTTGAACGGAAATGTTTCAACCTATAGAATGCATTCCATTTTAAAAGTCACAGCCTATCATATGAATTTCTATTTTTAGAGGAGTGTGTGTATTCTCATTTCTTTATATAATTTTGAAATGCCAACGTTCATTATTCTCAGTATTGGTCTATATTGAATCAAGAATTTGCTATTAAAATTATCAATATTATAATAGAATATAATTTCTAAAATGTGCATGTTGGAAGAGATTTATTTATAAGTATTTACAAGTATGTGGCTTGGGAAAATATTGAATCAAATGGTTTGATGAGACAGTGATTATTTGGAGAAAAATTTTTGCTTGGAAATGTATGAGTCAGAGAGAAAAGTAGACTATTTTGGTATAAATTATCCCTTTTAACAAATGAATAACTGTTATAAATCTATAGTCAAAAATGTTTTATTTATACTTATTTTATTAATATTAACAAATATTAATATTTTATTTATATTTATTAATATAATACTATATTTGTTCTATAGTAAAAATATTTTTTTACTATTTTCTGTTACATAAATATAGCAAAATAGCTTATAGAGAATATAGGGAATATTTTTCTTTTTTGAATTATACCACTGTTAGTTTTTCATGAAACCTAG